ATCCAGAAACCCCGTAGAGCTCGTGTCTGCTTACATTGGAGGGGTCGTTATAAGGTGCGAACGAGTTGTAAGGAAAATAAAATTATTGATTGCTTTAAAAAAACTGAAAAATCGTAAAAGCTGTTAAACTACAATCTTTCCTTTTTAACAACAATTTCTGGGAATTAAATCTTCAGAGGGATCGTGTTTCGGAAGAGAATTTGGAGGAGGAGGAGTGGGTGCCATATTGACAAGAGTTTTTCCCACTAAGCCTTGCTTGTGATTTACCCTAGTTCGTACTCATAATTCAAATAATTCAAAAAAAATTATATAAAAGTTGACGAGGAAACTCTCTTGAGTTCAGGCACAGGCCTTTACTCAGTCTGAACCTAGCACGGCAATAAATTCAAATGAATAGATTAAAGAGAAGGACATGAGAAACGAAATAGTAGCAAGTTGAGTATGAAATGAATAAAAAAGCATAAAATATCTAATTATGTCAAAGGCATATTGGAATGAAGAAATGGCTTCGAATTACATAGCGCGGAACTCGAACTTTGGAGCCTGTGCTCTGTGCACAGCGTACTTGCCATTACACCACTTATAAACAGTAAGGCCGTGGTTGCTTTCTTGATGTGATATTCACCACAGCTCATCGGATTCGAATTGCATCCCAATCCTCCCTTTTTGTCCATAAATCAAGCTCTGTATGATATCATTTGCATGGCGAAATGGGGCCATAACCAGCAATCAGCAGAACAAGAGAAACTCAATCATTTAGTACCCAAAAGAAAAAGCACGGATTCGAAAGAGAGAAAAATACGCGGCGTAGTCACAATGGTACCATCGCCGTCAATCCTCTTTTGGTTTCGAGTGAAAAATCTCAAATACAAATGAGCTGGCAATTGCTTCGCGAAAAAGAGAGTAAAATTGAGTAAAAAATAAAAAAAAAACAAAACGAATTAAAGGAAATTGGAGTAGAGAATAAGCTGAAACTCAAACTTTCCCTTTCTTCCCTTCCATTTCAGGATAAGGTCTGTCATAGTGATGAAGATTAGACCGCCAGTGAAAGCTCCCTCAAAATGCACCCCACCCCCACCATGAAATTCAACACTCTTCCCCATAATCATAGGACTTCCGATTGAGCGCCGACTACCCACCAAGAGGAGAAGAAGGGAAAACATCCATAAAATGTAATCTTTTTGAGTTCAACGAGTAATCATCGAGTACGAACTTCCGACCCTGCTCATGAATAAGACCCTATACTTCCAGGAACTCGAAACGAAAGCGAATTCCAGAAAACGGAATTAAACTAGCGTACTGATGGAAGGATCTGAGCAAATAGAGACCCGGCCACTTCGTCGTCAACGTACAAATGACTCGCCCCTAGAGACCAAATTTATTGGCTTCACGCCGGGATCGTAAAATAGCCGTTTTTCATATTCAATGAATCGAAATTCTGCCACATTCGTACTATTCTCATACGGACAGACTTTCACAGACTTTAATATAAAATCAAATATCTTCTACATTTTATATCGCTATTTAATATCTAATATCTAATTTTCCACCTTCATGAAGGCTTCTTTAGGTAGAGGAGACTGCTGCACTGAAAAAATTGGCTTTAAGCCAGAAAGTTTGGTTTCTAGGAAGATTTCCTTTCAGAATTCCCTTCTAGGGACAGTGAATTTCTTCACTGCAACAAAAAGTAGAGGGTTTTCGTCATTGGCACGATGCCAAGCCAAATCGGATTGGCTTTTTTTGTATGTATGCCTTCAAGAGCTTCACATAAGTAGAGCTCAGCTTGCCTCTATTTTTTGTTAGGATTCCCGTGACGTTGCTAAGAAGCCTTACGGGACACCCTTCAAAGAGAGATAGGAGAAAGAGAAGCCATTCTTCTACAAAAGATTCCCGGATTAATCGAATAAGTAGGAAAAAAATGCGAAAATTGCAAGAATCTCGGAGACGAGGTGAGACGAAATCGAAGGAAAACTTGGGGGACTCGGGCGGAGCAAACGGTGAGAGTTTTGGAAAATGAAAAACAGACGAAATTCACACGTGAATGAATGATTGGACGCGCCTTTGCGGACAAATTCAATTCGGAGCGGATAGGGGCGAGGTTCGATGGCGACGACGACGAAGGTGGCGAAGAAGGCAAGCAGAAGCGAGCTGACATCGACGACGGCGTTGGGCCAAGAGGGGCGACGGGCGAAGGAGGAGAAGAAGACGGAAAAAAGAGGCATCTTGGCCGGAATGAAGACGAATCGGTTGTATGTGGTGTGTGGGGGTATATAAGTGAGCCCTAAGTGAAACCAGCGACATCCCGCTTATTCAATAAAGCTCAGATGAAGACCGACGAAATTTGCTTGGATATCCCTGGGGATGGTAGAGGCTGTCCCGTTGGCCGTCGGACGACACTATAACTGTCACTCAAAAGTTGCAAAAAAAAGGAGAAGCTTCAAAGGCAAAAGCATAGGAAGGGGATTGCTTGACGACGTTGGCAATCGACAAAGCTTTCAGCCGCCGTTATCGGGATGACCATCACATGACGACGGCGCATTAAGCCACACGGCCACACTGAACAATCCGCCTTTTTCGCTCCCATAAATCACACATATGCTCTAGCCGTTTTCATATTGAGCTCACGTTGCATGGCTACAGATCTGGCCTACTTAGTTCTATTTGTAGGTAGCAAATGTCAGAAGAGGGACCATGTTTTCCCACTCATAAAGGGGGATTGTTGAGATCGTGCTGCAAGCCGAAATATTCTGTAATTCTCCGCCGTACAGATTTGTCGCGATGGAACCGCTTTCAGCTTACTTTTGGGGCAATTTGCCGCCACCAAGGTCCCAGAAGCAGCTCGGAGCTCCTAATCTCTGGCTCACCTAGCTCAGACACTTCGTAATATACCCAAACTTCAAAAAGTTTGTAGAAGTTGGAAGTCACTGCAAGCACGAAAACTCAAAAGAAACTAGAGTCCTTGTCGTAAAATAGAGTGTAACAGACACAAAACCTAACGGACAATGTATTTCATTCTACGACACGGTACAAAATGCTTTTGGGTGAGCTCACAAATTGGACGAGTGAACGGTCTTACCCAGAATTTCAAACCAGGTTCCAACAGAGCTGTTTCTATCCTAAATTTTTGTTTTGTGGGTAGTAAGAAGTCGCATTGGACTGGACATTGGAAAGAGATTCTCTGTATTGCAGATGTGTCCATCCC